TTTTTTTTCACAGATGCTGCCAGACCTGCTGAACTTTTCCAGAAACTTCTGTTTTTGTTCTTGATTTACAACATCCGCAGTTCTTTTGGTTTCCATATAGACAACGTCTACTGCTCTGAGATAGTAGGAACTACTCTGCCTTGATTAAGTTAGTGAGACACGATTTCCCATGCACAAAGCCATGTTGACTATCAGTCGTTGCCTTTGCAAATCCATAACTTGTTGAGTCAAAAACCTGTTTTCCATATTGTGATTTCTATATTTCCTTTGCTAATTGCACACCGACTCTTACTGACAGGAATTTAAAAAAGTCAAGATGCAACTGTGAATCTACACAAAAGCTTGGCATAGCCACAATTGGTGAACTGTATCCAGTTTCGGATGTGTTCCCCTTTCCCACACCTCTCTCCCCCTCCAACTCCAATCATCAAAAGAACTCGACAGCTCAGGATCACTATTTTGAGGGAAAAAAATGAAAAATTGGTGCTGTGTTTCCAATTAAATGCATTAAGAAAATTGATAGATGTATTAACAATTAGGAAAGGCTACAGTTAGGAACCAAGTTGAAACACAGAGTTGAAAATCATTTTTCCATAAATTCGGGGACCAGAAAAGTTCAAATTCAAGTAATTTAGGACATAAAGCAAAAGAAAACATTCGCTTGAGAACCATGAAGCTCTGGACTGCATTACCGGAGTTTGTGTTTAAAGCAGAGACCATTTAAGAATAAATTGTCCAGGTTTTTCGAGGAATGGGGTATATGGCGTAAAGTTAACTAATGGATCAGAACTACTAATCAAGTGGAGGACAGACCCCTACATAAACTGAGCCAAATATTATTTGGATTATTTTGCTTTTGGTTTAAGTGCCTTCCTATTTCCTTCTATTACTTGGCAATAACTCTTCATAAACCCTCAATCTAGTTTTTAAATCATTTCTTTTGTCATCCTTTCCATACTTTGCTCAATTTGCTTCACCACTGGACACTGATTTCTCATAATCGATAAGTCTCTACCCACTCAAAGAACTCAGCTATTGCTGAAGCACTTTATTTCTTATGGATTATTTCTAGTTGGCATGGTCATAGTCTTTTACTTAAAAATTTCCCATTATTTAACCATCATTTAATCTGCTATTTACTTTCTAATTTATTTAGTTAAACTTTTTTTCTAATCAGATACCATTGTAAACCTGAAAGATCATGGAAATTGGAACTCATCACAATATTGTTATGGTCACTGTTTCCTTAAGTGCTCCCCCTACCTCTTACATTATCACATTGTCCTACATCCACTTACTAGAAACAATTTTCAGCACTGAATTTTCACTTACATTATGCCAAACTTTTTCAACTTTGTAAGGCAATGCGAGAACACTCAGGGCCAGGACTGTTGGTGAAGTGGTAAAGAAATGCACTCAAAATACCACATGAAAAACAAAATAAAATATCAGTTACCAGGGAATGCATCAAAGAATGTAAACTAACCTCAGGTTTTACTGAGTACTTATGAATTGCTCAAACTTTGCTCTCTGTTTAAAACAGAATCTGAACTTCATTTTTACAGTGATTTATCTGTAGGCGTTCAGATTTCAGGGCAGGGTGTCAATGTCAAATTAGCTCAGGAGGCCAAGCAATCCTGAAAACTCAGATAGACAAGAGCTCCAGAAATATTTTCACACAAAGCTCCTATCTTTCCATGATTTTTTTCTGCATCCTTGACTGATTCCTCCTAACCCCATTCAAATCAACATCAACAAGAAAATTAAATGCTTATGAAAAAAGATTAGTTGAATACTAATGTGGACATTTTTTCAGTTTTGTCAAGGACAGCAACTTAAAACTTTCCATTCGTCAAAAAAAAAGCATTTGAAAAATGGAGCGGCACCGTACACATCCTGGGCTGGATGTTCATTTACCAGTTTTAAAATAGCATATGTGAAGCAATATTACCTGTTTCTTTCTCATTTGCTTTTTTTTCCCCCAAAGTTCAAAGAAAATTGAATTCTTGTATGATTGTCTGGAAAGGAATTTTACATTGTGTACTGTACATCATGCACTTCCTGTCACACTTTAGTGAGAACAACTCCATCGAAAAATAGTATCGCCTGACTCACTGTTCAGTTCCTGTATAAATGGAATAGACTGCAACCTTCAGGATTGTCTTTAATTGAGCCAGAGCAAAGAACAGTAGTCAAATAGGTAAATTACACTCATCACAGTGACAGTGCTACCAAATTAGGTTTTGGTATAAGAAGAAGCTTTGCAAACTTTTTCCCCCTAAAAAGCAAACTGCTTTCATTGATACAGAAAATATTTTGGAAGGGTTGTTCCTTTCCTCCCTCTCAACCCTTCAAGTAGTTTGGTGAAATACGAGGAAATTTAAGACAGTCATCGCTCCATACATATTATGTACATCTTAATTCAGATAGTTGCTGCTGTGAAAAAAAGTTATACCCTAAAACGAATAAAACACAAATATATAGTTCCCTTGTGTACTTCCAGCGCAATCACAAGTAGTCCGGCTAAAACTGCAAGTTTGGAAAATAGAGGGACAGAAATGCCGCAGCAAGATAAAACAACTGAATAAAATAATTTGGGAAATGTCGATGTTAATGAAAAGTTATCAGGTCCATGTACGGAGACTGAGAAACACATTAGACAGATTTTGATTCAGACGCGTGATCCAACGATACCATCAACCATTCACATTCCTGCCCCGGTGACAGGGCAGCTTATGCAGATCAAGAACTTACCGACTTCGAAGCTTTCTCAATCTTACAAATGATCGGGCTGGGATTTTGCGATCATTCCTCCCACATCGCCACGTAGAGACATATGCTGCCAGGCACGTTGCCGGCTGTTTCTTTGAATTTGGCTACAATGTAATTCCCCGCCGCCCCCTTTCCACCACTTTGTTTTCTTCTTGAACAAGACGGAACGTTGCACATAACAACTGCAAATACAACAGTCCAGTACCTTATTTCCTCGCCCCGCGTAGAAACTCAAGTTGGCGTTTCTGTCCGCCCTATAAATGAAGCCAGGCATGAAAGTCTTCAAGAATCCTCACAAGGCAAATCATACTTCTCTCTTGTTCTTATCCTCCTCCCTCCACCCCCCCACCTCCTTCCTCCAATCTAGTTCCTTCCTCTTCCTTTAGAAACCAAGCTGGTAATAATTATTAATCTGCTCTTGCTCATTCTGGGAGTATGATAG